AATTGACATGAAAACAGCAAGAGAAGAAAAAAGTTTCCATGCTTTTGGTAAATCTTTCATGCAAGAAAGTCAGAACAAGATCCAAATAACTAGTGAGCTGATCATCTTCCCGTGCTCATAATCTGCTGCAGCCAAGCCAGAGCAAGGATAGAAGACAGAACCACAAGTTACCAATACTGGTCTCATCTGCATTCTGTGACTGGTGTTTGGTTTTGCTAAAAGTAAATATCAACCACCAACAAATAAATAGCAGATAATGGATAAAATAACAGATGAGAAAGCTCCATTAGTAACTCAGATTCTGCTCCAGAAAATTAGCTGAAGTGAGAAGTTTATGTACATACACTCATCATAGACAAAAATGCCAATTGAGAAAGCCTATTAACTTTTAACAACCCAGGAACTATCAAGGCTCAAGCCTGCCATGAACTGGAAACTGCTGGAACAAAATGGTGCAAACCAAAAAAATAGCTCCTGTCCCAAAGCCACACTTTAAAGTGTCTGTGACATGATATTGGAACTATGCATAAAAGTCATTTTATATATATATACACGTCACCATTTTTCTCAGTAAATATATTACTAGAGGTGCTAATGACATGAAATTTTCACCATGTCGGTAACAACCCAAGTGATCCATACATACAAAGAAATCAAACCATAAATGTCCAGAAATGAAGTTACTTGTAATAATGTGGAATGGCGCAGGGAAAAAGTATTGAACACATGAAGAAAAGGAGGTGTAAAAAGGCATGGAAAGCCAAGACACCAGCTGAACTCTCAGTAATTAGAAAGCAAGTCTGCCCCTTGTCAGTGCAAATTAACATCAGATGGTTCAGTCCCAAATGATGACCAGGTATCACACAAGAACCATCTGATGATGGGTAAAAATAAAGAGCTCTCTCAAGACCTTCACAACCTTAGCAAAGCATAATGATGGCATCGGTTACAGAAGAATTTCTAAACTTCTGAATGTTCCAGTGAGCATTGTTGGGGTCATTATTCGGAAGTGGAAAGAACATCATTTCACCATAAACCGACCACGACCAGGTGCTCCTCGCTAGGGCTGCCACAAACGATTATTTTAATAATCGATTAATCACCGATTATTTATTCGATTAGTCGACTAATCGGATCATACGTTAATTGAATATAAAACATASAGCTTATCACGTCAGAATGCAGCTATTGCATAACCATCGTTAGATTTTAGCTATATGCTAACTAAAAATAATTGCTGTGGAAGGTAAGTTCTGCTCTGTAGATATTGCACAGGTTTCTCTTTCATTTTCTTAAAATGATCCCACACTTTTGAGCTCCGTTGTCAGGTGATACCAGAGCCTGTCTGTATAATGTCTTGTGACGTCCACGGCCTACCCCAGTTACCACTACTGTGCATGTGTGTCAAGGACAGAAAGGCAGTGGAAGGTGTCAAAGCAGTTTGGAGAGAAAAACAAAGTAAAGAACAACAACAAAAAAAAGAAAACGATTTATCGATTATTAAATTAGTCATCGATTATTTTAATAATCTATTAGTCGTCGATTAATCGATTAATCGTGGCAGCCCTACTCCTCGCAAGATTTCTGACAGAGGAGTGAAAAGAATTATCAGAAGAGTTGTCCAAGAGCCAAGGACCACTTGTGGAGAGCTTCAGAAAGACCTGGAATTAGCAGGTACGATTGTTTCAAAGAAAACAATAAGTAATGCACTGAACCACCATGGCCTGTATGCACGCTCACCACGCAAGACTCCACAGCTGAAGAAACAGCATGTTGAAGCTCCTTTAAAGTTTGCTGCACAACATTTAGACAAGCCTGTGAAATACTGGGAGAATATGGTCTGGTCAGATGAGACCAACATTGAACTGTTTAGATGCCATAAGACACATCCTGTTTGGAAGTCAAATGGCACTGCACATCATCCCAAAAATACCATACCAACAGTGAAGTTTGGAGGTGGGAACATCATGGTGTGGGGCTGTTTTTCAGCGTATGGTACTGGCCAACTTCAAAAAATTGAAGGAAGGATGAATGRAAAAATGTACAGAGACATTCTTGATAAAAATCTGCTTCCATCTACCAGGATGATGAAGATGAAACGTGGCTGGACATTTCAGCAAGACAATGACCCCAAACACAAAGCCAAGGAAACTCTCAATTGGTTTCAGAGAAAGAAAATAAAGCTGCTGGAATGGCCCAGCTAATCACCTGACCTGAATCCAACAGAAAATCTATGGAAAGAACTAAAGATCAGAGTTCATAGAAGAGGCCCACGAAAGCAAGGTTTGAAGACTGTTTGTGTGGAAGAATGGGCCAAAATCACACCTGAGCAATGCATGCCACTAGTTTCTCCATACAGGAGGCATCTTGAAGCTGTCGTTGCCAACAAAGGCTTTTGTACAAAGTATTAGATAAATTTCAGTAAGCGTGTTCCATACTTTTTCCCTGTGCCATTCCACAHTATTACAAATAACTTCATTTCTGGACATTTATGGTTTGATTTCTTTGTATGTATGGATCACTTGGGTTGTTACCGACATCTGGTGAAAATTTCATGTCATTAGCACCTCTAGTAATATATTTACTGAGAAAAATGGTGACGTGTTCCATACTTATTTCACCCGCTGTATGTATATGTATATGTATATGTGTGTGTGTGTGTATATATATATATATATTTTAACATTCACATAATTGCATTTGTTCAAACAAAACTAATTATAAGCAACCTGGTGAGTTCAGCGATTACAAAACTTGGCCACTGTGTGTCAGCAGAGGCATATCCGTGGCGCCAGTTGATGACGTAGCATGAGTATATCCGTCTGTAAACAGTACACGCCTAGCAGTGAGATCGCAGTACTTTTACTAGATAAAATGTTGACACGTTGTGTCGCAGCTGGGTGTTCTAATTACCCCAGTGAACAAGTAAGCCTGTTCACTTTCCCAAAAGAAGAAAACCGTTGTAACAAGCTTACTGCGGCTCTTTTGTCTTAGCGGTTAGGTCCCGACCGACAGCTACAGGAGCGTGATGCGCATCTGCATCCACATGCCCAAACGTGCGCACACATTTGTCCTGCTTTTGACTCGTCACATTACGAAATGTCAAGAGAGAGAGAGAGAGAGAGAGAGAGAGAGAGAGAGGAAGGCAGAGCAGCATCAGATCATGACACCGCGCTGTGGCATCTGCATTAAAACTAATTCAATTAAATAAAAATAAATAGGGCAAGAATATGCGCCTGCAGGTGTACCGTTGTACGCACTGTGCGTACCTTGAGATTTTCCTTTGAGTTAAAAAAAATGTTTTTATAAGCATTTGACTTTTTAATGATTTTTCACTTTATAATTACAAAATGGTGGACAAAATAAAATAAGAGAGTGTCTTTTGTCAGAACGTCCTGTACGTTCATCTGTGTGCGTCTGGGGGTCTGTTTTGCTGCATTTTGACAGTTTCCACTACAGTCTGCATAAGGCAAATCCATTTTCTTGGCCTATTTATTTTTATGTAATTTAATTAGTTTTAATGCAGCGGCTGCAGCGTGGTGTCATGATCTGATTCTCTCTCTCTCACCATTATTTGCAAAAAAAATTCTTTAAAAGTCAGACAAAATGATTTACTCAATTTTTTTTCACATTTTGTCTCTCATAGTTGAGGTCTACCTATGATGTCAATTACAGGCCTCTCTCATCTTTTTAAGTGGGAGAACTTGCACAATTGGTGACTGACTAAATACTTATTTTCCCCACTGTACATATATAATGACTTTTTATGCATAGTTCCAATATCGTGTCACAGGCACTTTAAGCTGGACTGACACATGCTAGTTTCATGGACAAATGAATTATGGAAAAATAAGTTCAATGGTTTGAAGAGGCACACATTTGAGCCATTTAACCATAGTGTTTGTTTAGAGGAGTCAACATGAGACTTTCCTGTCATCCACTGGTGACCTATCCAGGGTGTACCCTGCCTCTTGCACAATAGGTGCTGGAGATAAGCACCAGCTCTGCCGCAAACCTAAATGGAAAAGTGGATTAAAAATTATGGATGAGAGGTGAGGGTTTCAAACAGAAACTTTACGCCATTTGTCAAGCATGGTTGCAGCAGYGTCGGGTTATATAACTAATGCTCCAAATCTGTCATCGCCACCTTAAATCAACAGCATGATAGCTGGAACTTCGACACAGTTGGGTGTTTCAAGAGAGCCATGATCCAAACACACTAAGAATGAGTTTCTGATTGGACAAAACAAGCTAAACGTTCCATCTGAAATGATCTTACCATAGCCTCGACCTCAAACTAACTGATATTATGTGACTTATGCTTAAAAGCCAGATTCGTGCTGGAAACCAACCAATTTAAATGAACTCTACGAAGTCTGTCAAGATGAGTGGTCATACGTTAGCCATACAACTACAAGAAGCTTGTGGATAAATACAAAAAGCCAGTGTTTCAGGAGACACTTGCTAAAAGACATTTACAGAAATACAGTATTAGTGGTGTCATTTGGACATTTTTGTGCCTGTATTTAAAACTTTGATCCTGTGTGGCCGAGAAAAATTCACAATAAATTCATTCAAACTTGTGTTTTTTTTCTTTTATTCGGTTAAGTTGTATGTTATAAAATCATACAACTTGTATGATTAACTTCCCTGGGAAAAAAGGTTTAAGTAAACCAATAAAAGCCTGTAATTCATGACATTCATGCCCATGATGAGTGAAAGAAAACTTATAGATTTATAGTGACCACAACTATACGAAGAAAAAACAAACAAAAACAATGACAGAGACAAAAAAAGCTTTGAGGCAACTCTGATGTGTGTGACTTCAAGACCAGCTCAACTAGAGCCTTAGAACCTAGCAACATAACAGAAATTTTACATGAATTAACACCTATGATGAAGTAGCACACACAAGAGAAGTGCTTCATGTGACAGCAATCCAGAGATTGAGCAAAGCAACAGCCACCCGATCACCAGGAAGCCCGGTGGCCCAGTGATACCTGTGACGACGATCTTGGGGACATCCAGAATGGTTCCAAAAGATGCAGTTTTACGGTGACCTCGCTTATACGGGGGGCGTGCTGCAAAAACACACACATACACACATACAGCTGCGTACAAAACAAGCATGCAGACTAACCAGACTGCAGGCCCAATGCCTGACTGCTGACATGGGCCACATACATGCAGAGCATAGTGTAACGTGCAAAACAAACATGCACCCTGCCCAGTCCAGGAGCAGTGGAGTAGCATTGCAGTGCAGTGCACTTGCAATGCTGTTTGAAGAAAAAAAAAAATCAACAAGGTAATATGAGACGACAATATTTCTTTTGACAACATGAAAATTTGGACAGCAACAAAAACAAATGGTAAAAAGTAAATAAAAACAGCTCGACAGAACTCATGTGTTTCCTATTTGGTCTCGGAACCTTTCTGTTAAAGATGGACGTGTGTTTGAAGGGAGGGAGCTTCTTTTATACAAGGTTTACCCTAATAATACTGCCACAGGTTTTTCCTATACACATGCTTTCAATAAAAACAAAACAAAAAAAAAAAAAGAGGATTATACCAAAATATTATGAAGTTTTAGTGCTGCTGTTTTGTGCCGTATGATGTCTGGATATATACCTGCAGGTGCAAAAGGCAATTTGGGTTCCAATTCTGACAGGTCAGTGCTCATTCTTTTGCTGTCGGAGGATGCCAAACACTGAGTTCGTGCTGGAAGGCTTTCGACACTGCCCCCTCTGGACAAAGGCAGAGTTCTCAATGGGTCTCCCTGAGAAAAAAATTAAAAACTTTCATGTATACACTCAGTAAAAAAACTTTCATATACACTCAAATTACATTATTTAACGTTAGACATATTTTCAGACATGAAATATAAGCAAGAGGTGAACTTCACACAACATGATGTGACTCCTGTAGAGTCAGAAATACACTGGGGAGCTGAAAGTATTTACTAATATATCATTATGTTGACTTAAAAATGTAAATTTAAATGGATTTTTAGACAGGCTATATAGGCAACCCAGGGAGCAGCTAGAAATTGGGTGTCTTGCTCTACGACACCACAGCATATAGGGAAGGTGGGGAATCAAACCTGTGACATTCTGGTCCCAGGTCGGCAGACCCTATTGCCACACCACAGCCGCCCCAATACTGAAATTTGTTGTGTGCATAGTTTTTGCAGTCTTTGCTCTGAAGTTCCAACCATGACGTTCAAAAGTGACATAATTAGTTCAAAAAGATCCATCTGTGTCAGATGATCTCAGTATACGTACACTCATCTATAAGATTAACTACCAACCAATTAACTACCAATCATGCACACTTTTTAAACATTGTTTCATCTGACACAAACACCAAGTGCCCTACCCTTACCTAAAATAGTGTTGCATGCTGACCTCCGTCACATAAGTGATACAAACACAGTAATGTTACTTTGATGGCAAGAAGCAAAGAAGTTGTATTAATTTTGAATAWGATACATTCGAATCCATTCAGATGAAAAAATATTTAAAATTCCATCTAAAATGAACTTGAAGTGAGCACTCACAGCATAAAACTATTTTACATACTGATTCTACTTTGGTTGGGGACCCAAGTTTAAATAATTTTAAACGCAATTTTTGGATGTATCTGGTAAAATTGTAATAGTAAATACCAGTGAAAATAAAAATGTTAATGTATATGGGAATATATTTGTTCAGCTGGATTGGACTAATTTATTAAAGGGATGAAGAATTGAGATAATTAGGAATAATCCTCGGGACACAATAATTTTGTGTTACATGACTTTGGACATTTCTTTTACTTAATAACTTGTTCTTTTGACACCAAACAACACCTCCCCAGGCCCATTAGAAACCAGGAGGTTCCTCATATTTAACAAGCCTGGTATACCTGTATTTATGTCTGCAGATTTTACGATTCATCACATTTTCAGTACTGTCTTCATGTATTGTAGTCTTTTAGATATATTTCACATTAATTGAATTAATAAAAATAGTTTTTGACATTAGCTCCCTGTTTGTTAATTCACATAAGTCTAGATCTGTTATCTAGTCCACGAGTGCAATGTTTAATATAGGCCTGTTTTAACTAAAATACACAACAGTGGTAAATAAAAATATTTTAATAACAAATACATGTGAGATTAAATAGTTTATTATACATTAACTATATGTTGTATCATWTCAGCACCTGGTAGAGCTGAGAAAAACTGACTAGTAAATTATTTTGCATGCAGATCATACATTTTTAACATTGACACATGTACACTCACCGGCCACTTTATTAGGTACACCTGTCCAACTGCTCGTTAACCCTTACTTTCTAATCAGCCAATCACATGGCGGCAACTCAGTGCATTTAGGCATGTAGACATGGTCAAGACAATCTCCTGCAGTTCAAACCGAGCATCAGTATGGGGAAGAAAGGTGATTTGAGTGCCTTTGAACGTGGCATGGTTGTTGGTGCCAGAAGGGCTGGTCTGAGTATTTCAGAAACTGCTGATCTATTGGGATTTTCACGCACAACCATCTCTAGGGTTTACAGAGAATGGTCCGAAAAAGAAAAAACATCCAGTGAGCGGCAGTCCTGTGGGCGGAAATGCCTTGTTGATGCCAGAGGTCAGAGGAGAATGGGCAGACTGGTTCGAGCTGATAGAAAGGCAACAGTGACTCAAATAACCACCCGTTACAACCGAGGTAGGCAGAAGAGCATCTCTGAACGCACAGTACGTCGAACTTTGAGGCAGATGGGCTTCAGCAGCAGAAGACCACACCGGGTGCCACTCCTTTCAGCTAAGAACAGGAAACTGAGGCTACAATTTGCAYAAGCTCATCGAAATTGGACAAGAGAAGATTGGAAAAACGTTGCCTGGTCTGATGAGTCTCGATTTCTGCTGCGACATTCGGATGGTAGGGTCAGAATTTGGCGTCAACAACATGAAAGCATGGATCCATCCTGCCTTGTATCAACGGTTCAGGCTGSTGGTGGTGGTGTCATGGTGTGGGGAATCTTTTCTTGGCACTCTTTGGGCCCCTTGGTACCAATTGAGCATCGTTGCAACGCCACAGCCTACCTGAGKATTGTTGCTGACCATGTCCATCCCTTTATGACCACAATGTACCCAACCTCTGATGGCTACTTTCAGCAGGATAATGCGCCATGTCATAAAGCTGGARTCATCTCARACTGGTTTCTTGAACATGACAATGAGTTCACTGTAYTCAAATGGCCTCCACAGTCACCAGATCTCAATGCAATAGAGCATCTTTGGGATGTGGTAGAACGGGAGATTCGCATCATGGATGTGCAGCCGACAAATCTGCGGCAACTGTGTGATGCCATCATGTCAATATGGACCAAAATCTCTGAGGAATGCTTCCAGCACCTTGTTGAATCTATGCCACGAAGAATTGAGGCAGTTCTGAAGRCAAAAGGGGGTCCAACCCGTTACTAGCGTGGTGTACCTAATAAAGTGGCCGGTGAGTGTATATTTATTGTGTTCAATAAATTTGGTGTATAATTTATGTTAGTCTGTCTGCAGCTAACATTATGTGTTGCTGAACAGATGACCTGAATGATCACTTTACTACAGCAAGTACAGAAGAAACTTATGAAATGTCATTCTTTGTAATGTTGAATTTCTTTATGTGCTAAAGTTTAAAGCAAAACATCCAGTTCCTGATGTGTTAATCTTCCTTTTCTTGGGCTATTGCACAAGTATACATCTGATCCATGTTGATCCAAAATCAACACAAAACACCAGCACCTCTGCACGTCTCAAACCTTGTGACATCCAAGCCAGTTATATACTGTATATCAACAAAAAACATTAAGATTGTTTTTTCAAGTATTRATAGTATAACATTGTGAGTTTTCTGAATATTACACCTCATCAATATTAGTGTTACAAGTGAGTTAGGGTTTCATTTAAGAATCTCAGAAACACGTTTTATTTTACTTGAATCCAACTTATGGTTTCTGCTGACAACAGGTGTGACAGAGACATAATTACAGCAACTTTACTGTCTTTACCTTTGGTTTAAAATGAGGTGCAAACTGAGGTGTGATCTTGATAGTGTCATTGCTTCCTTGAGAATCACTGTGCTCCAAATTTGCATCACTTTTGTTGCTTGCACTGGTTCCAGTATAGTCCACATAAGAAACTGAAAATTTCACAATATAAAAGAGAGAAAGTAGTTTATAAACATTTTATAAATCATCTCAATTGCTATAACCTGTAGATTGAAAGTACATTTAGAAGATCTTAAGATTTTTAGAGAAAAAAAATTCAATATAAACATTTGCAACAAACAAAATTAAGGCAATTCTTTGTCGTACGTACGCACGAACATACATACATTTTAGAGAATAAGCTTGACACTTATATAAAAACTTAGCAAAGATTTATATGTTTACGATTACTAAGTTACATTTATTGGGAAASTATGTTTAGTCATAGCATTCTTTGTTATTTTATTCTTGTTTTCAAATTGTTTTTGGTTTTCTATATCAAAAATGGGCATTGTTCACATTTAAGTTGTTTTTAATAAGGGGTTTAATTCTGAATGTCCCCTCATTCAATAATTTATTTACTTTGATATTATAATATATTTTTTGCATCAAAAGCAGATGGAATGTGATGGGAAAAGGAGGATAGACCAAGGGAGCTATAACTCCTGAGTAAGATGCAGAGTGAATTTATGAGGGATGAGGTGTGAGAAATAGTCCAGTAGTAGCCATTAAAGGGCAGGTGTAGACTGTTAAGTGCAGTGAAAAAATAGGACTAGAGTGGAAAACAACTCACGTTGTTTTGTTCACATCATTGTTTGGTCTATGTGTTGACTTGTAACTTTTTACTATCAGCATGTGTGTGTACGTATGTGTGAGCGACTGAAATAATCTTACCAGCTGTCCCCTCTGTAATCATTCTGGTTCATTAGAAAATGTACTTTCCGGTCCGACAGTAAGGTTCATATGCATCTTGAGATGCAATTTTTCAAAACCGATCTTGTACACTGTTGCTTTTTTAATTATCATTACAACAAAGCATGCTATAACGCTCCAGGTTGTAAACAGCAGGGAAGCAGCTGTGATGACGCGCTGAAATGGGCGTGGCAGGATCTGAACGAGGTTCTTAAAGAGATAGAGGCCAATTTCAAGGTGTTTAGAAATGGAAATGAATGAGAAGTTAAGTTTATTTTTATTTAAACATAAAAACAGCATTTTAATAACAACTAAATGTGACAGTTACTTTATTGTGGTATAGAATTTCAATATATGCCTCGGAACACACATATTATTGGCCCTTTAATCTCCTTTCTGTAGGCCGATTCATTGTTGTCAGAGATCAGGCCCACAATATTAGTGTCATCAGCAAACTTGATGATGTTAGAGCTTTGTCTGGCTGTGCAGTCGTGGGTGTACAGTGAATACAAGAGCGGGCTGAGCACACAGCCCTGAGGAGCTCCGGTATTGAGGGTCAGTGTGCAGGATGTGATGGTGTCCATCCTTTCCATCTGCCATTGACCTGTCAGGAAGTTCAGAATCCAGCTGCACAGGGAGCTGTTCAGACCTAGATCCCTAAGCTTGATGTCGAGACTTGGAGGAATGATGCTGTTGAATGCTGAGCTGTAGTCCACAAACAGCATTCTCACATACGTGTCCTTCTTGTCCAAGTGGGAGAGGGCAGTGTGGAGGGTCAGAGCTATTGCATTATCTGTTGATCTGTTTTGCCTATAGAACAGGGGTGTCCAAAGTCAGTCCTCAAGGGCCAGTGTCCTGCATGTTTTAGGTGCTGCCCTGGTTCAACACAGCAGAACCTAAGGCTTATTTAGTAGGCTGCCTTGGTATGCCAGCAGAGGCCTAATAATTAGGCACTCCAGGACGTATTTGTGGACAAATAATGGCAGATCTAACCAGGACGAATTTGTGAAAAAGTTAACAGCAGATCTGAGTTGTTTTTTGTTTTTTTTCGGAGTGTAGACTCCAGTGGGAAGGAACCCCGGACAGTGACACGTACCGCAGCAGGAGGGAGTTTCCAGGAGCTTGRCTTGCTGTGTCTCAGGAACTATGAAAGGTGTGTGTGAAAATGAACGCCGAACAACCACGTGACCGCGCCTTGACTGTTCGGCATGGGTTGGAGTATGTGGAGGCCTGTAGGAAGCTTCCAAATATTTTTCTTCAAACATAAGAACTTTAACAAACAAACGAGTAAAAACTGCAGATAGCAACTGAAAAGATCATCAGGGACTACTGCATTCTGGTGATTATGGAGACTTGGTTGAATTCACTCATGCAGGACACTGCTATTGAGCTAGCAGGTTACACAGCATCTCGACAAGACATGAGAATTAAATAAATAAATTCAGATAAGAAAAGAGGAGGGGGCTGGTGTATCTATGTGAACAACAGCTGGTGCATGAATTTCACCTTAGTCACTGATCACAATTCTCCAGATGTGGGGTTTATGACTATTAAATGCAGAGACACATACCTCCCCCAGGAACTCAGGGGGAGGTATATGTGTGCTATGTACACAGCACAATACTAACTCGGCCCACATAAATCAAACTTCTTCTGTACCTGTACTGTTTGCAGAGTTGCTCTGTCCCTCATCTGAATACTGGTATGGATATTGCAGAGGCTCATCAAATCCTGGGAGATACTGTAAAAAAAATTAAATGGTGAAAAAATAGTTCACTGTTAGGCTAAAAGTAATAGTAGTAGAGCACTCCACACCATTTGGGTCTAAACAAGGTAGTATCTCTAGTGGCAGCTCTAACTTGTATAAAAACTATGAAAAAGGTATATACAAAGTCAAGAGGGTCAGAGATTAAAGATGCACCGATATGAAAATTTCAGCCGATTTCGATATCGTATATAATTTTTGCATTTATGGCCGATAACCGATATTGCACAAACACACAAAATATGTTATACATATACGCACAAACACACTTTGGTCTTTTCTTGATACGGTAAATAAACAACCAGGCCTCTGACATTGATTTGATTTGATTTATTGATTTAACAGGAAAAGTTTACTAAAAATCAAGCCTGACTCAGCATAATTGCTGTTTTACAGCAGGTTCC